CGGGCCCACAAAACAGGGCTAAGCCTACAGACCCCTTTTCCGATTGGGGGCAGGGGTAGCAAGAGGGTGGGAACATTAAGGGAACTACAGGCTGGGATTTCGGTCGGCTGGGAGGTGAGGAACTGCGAGGAGAGGGTTCCCCCAACCCTTTGTGGCCTTCCGCTGCTCACCCCCTCAGCTCCGCCTCTGCCAGCCACTTGGGGGAGGGGGCTGGACTTGCCACCTTTTCTAAAAGCTAAGGAGCAGAGGAAGTCCTTCCACGTGTCTAACCCTAGTTCGTTATGTTGCAAGTTAAGCTGAAACTGAAAGACTAGAAACCAGCCTGCTCTATCGGTGCAGGGAGGGCTCCGCCAGTCTGTACACAGGAAGGTGGCCGAGACGGGGCATTCGTGTCTCTGGACCCTTTGCCCTAGCCAGAGCCATCCTCCACTTTGAGTTTTGTGCTACTAGGAAATTTCTCCCCCACAGTAACTGTAATGACTCAACACTGCAGTTCATTTCTGCTTCTCAGGGTCTCCCATTTCTCAGAAGCGTGGAGAGCCCCAGCATGGAGCATTCTGTTTGCAGAGTCCTGCCAGATTCTGGTCCCAAAAGGTGTGGGAGGAGGGAGAGGAAATCCAACCCAGATCCAGCGACTCTGCCCTGCTCAGTGGGGCCAGGCTGCAGGTCTGAAGCTCAACTCAGCATTCTCCTAAGTGCCAATTTTAGCTTCTGTCTCTATTTTGGGCTCCACTGCCTCACCACTGACTGGGGGCTGGTTGGTCTTCTCACCCCTAGCACCAGCACCTACACTGCCCCACGGCTTCCCCTCCTGCCTAGCAACTCCTTCACCTCCTTTTTCACTCATCACCCTGTTTAGAATCCTATAGCAAAGGCCAGAAGAAAAGGAGAGGAAATATACCTTGTCCAGGACAGGCTGGATGGAAATTAGAAAGCAGAAGGATCCTAGCACTTTGGGAGGCCTAGGCAGGTGGATTGCCTGAGCTCACAGATTGGAGACCAGCCTGAGCAAGAGCCAGACCCTGTCTACAAAAACAGCCAAGTGTTGTGGAAGGCACCTATAGTCCCAGCTACTTGGGAGGCTGAGGCAAAAGAATCACCTGAGCCCAAGAGTTTGAGGTTGCTGTGAGCTGTGATGTTACAGCACTGTACCAAGGACTCTGTCTCAAAAAAAAAAAAAAAAAGCAAACAGAAGGAGCTTTCCCAAGATCAGATCTGGCTCCTCCAGCTTGCACCTGCAGGGGACACCTAAAGGAAAGCTTCAGGAACTCCCCCAAAACCGACAGTCCTGAGGCTTCTGACCCCAGAACTCCAAACTTACCCCCACTCCTCCAGCCAAGGCTGAGGAATGTACTAAATTTAAAAACAACTAGAGGGCAGAATCCTGGCCTCAAGTTCCACCCACTAGGGGCCCAGAGACTAGGGCTGGGCTGGGACTTCAGCTTTTCTCCCAGGCCTGGGGTGGGAGAGTGCTGGAAGCTAAAGATAGAATCTTAAAGAGCTCAACTCCAGCTTGGGTACCAATAAACCTAAGACTTGAACCTGAGTCATGGTTTGTCTAGGGACCTCTCAGTTCCCAAACCCAACTTAGAAGGTCTCTATAAAAGGAAAGGACTACTCCTCCAACACATTTCTATCTCCCAATTCAACCTTCAGTCTACTTTCCATCCCATTTGCTGTTTGTTACCCTACCTCTTATACCCTTTTCTTTCTCCTAGGAGATGAATAACAAGGAGGGGAGCTGAAGGTGAGGTATGGAAGTAGAAGGGTAGAGAGAACTGCTACCTTTAAAAATACCTATGTTGGGCCAGGCGTGGTGGCAGGTGCAGTGGCTCACACCTATAAAGTGGCCAAGGTAGATGGATTGCTGGAGCTCACAGGTTTGAGACCAGCCTGAACAAGTTCGAGACCATGTCCCAGCTACTTGAGAGGCTGAGACAAGAGAATTGCTTGAGCCCTAGAGTTTGAGGTTGCTGTGAGCTATGACACTATGACACTCTACGGAGGGCAACAAACTGAAACTCTGTCTCAAACAAACAAACAAACAAACAAACCTGTGTTTAGTGAGCTTGGCCTGCAGCTTCACCCAATTTCCATTTTCTACAGCCTTTCAAACACTGAACACTTTTCCTTTCTCCTTGGCATCTCCCACCCCTTTTTCCAAACCCTTCATTCCAAACCCCCCAACAACATGTTATCCAGTGATATCTTCCAGATTTTCAGAAATTATTTTTCTAGATTACACAAAAACAAAAATTCCTGCCAGAATCTAGGCACCACTTTGTTGAGCCTATTTAACCTGACAAAATTTTAGGGAAAGGGAGGAGGCCTCAGGAAAGAACATGGTTCTTAAGAGTCTTGGCTAGTGGATAAAGGAATGAACCTCCTGGAGATATCTATGCCTAAATTCTATACTGTTCAGGAGGTAGTTTGTTTTTCTTATTACTTTGGATCTTGGACTCTCTGGAAAGGGATGATTAAGCCCTAATTGCCTCCAGTGGCCCAGTTCCATCCCATTTCTCAGAAGCACAGAGAGTCCTAGCATAGAGCATCCTGTTAGCAGAAGCTGGTATTAGAAGGGAAGGATGAGAGGGGATAAACTGTTGTGTTAGGTTTACTGAGCAGAAGCAGTGGTAACATACAGCCAAAGCTCTGGGTTTGTAAGGTAGTGCCACCTCTTACTAGTTGTGGGATCTTAGACAAGTAACTTAACCTTTAACTTAGCTTGTCTGTGAAGTGGAGATTAAAATACTTATCTTTGCCAAAGTTGTTATAAGAATTAAATGAGATGACCTCTGGAAAGTGTTCGTCAGTTGTGCAATGCTTGTCAAATAGGAAGGAATAAGCCACTTCCTCCTCTCTGCTGCTTGGCTGAGCCTCTCTCCAGCCCCACCCCTGATGCTTACCTGGTTATGCCTCCTTATCCTATTCTGAGAGTTGGGGAGAAAGAGATTAATTGAAGCAGGCCTACACATTCATGAAGGAATGTGGAAGGAAGATGCACAAAGAGATAGCATAGAGGGAAACAGGAAGTTGGGACCACAGACTGGGAGGAAAGGCCAACCAAGGCAAGTCCTGACTTACTCTGGCTCTTTACTGCTCCCAGTCTGGGATCCAGAGTCTCTGCCCACATTCCCCTTTGCCAGGTTACTCAATCCGCCACAGACTGTTAGGTAAGGGTGGGCAAACAGACCAACTGTGAGCTGGATGGCCCCTGGGAGGAAGTGACTTGCCCTGCCATTCTCATTACAGGAAATGAGGATAATCCCACTCGGCTCTCCTGCCCTGAACTGAGAGAATCTGTGGGGACATGGAAACCAGACCCCAAGGTCTCTGTATTTGCTTTGTTTTCTAGAGATCTCTGCTCCACCAAGGGAGAGAAGAATCCTCACTGTCCCACCTGGCCCCCTCTGCTAGCTTTTAGATTCTCCAACTGTTCCCCTCCTGAGAATTGCCTAGTTTCAGGCCTCCAGCAGCCTCAACTCCCCACCCATGGCCATGGTGAGAAGGTGCCACCAAAATGCCCTGGTTTCATCTCCACTTTCCCAGCCCACCCAGCTGAAAGGCTGGCAGAGGGAAGGCCTTGGTGCTGTGGGTGGAGGCCAAGTAAACTTACTGGATGAGAATCCCTCCCTCTTCTAGGTGAATACGCTAATGTCTTCCTGGAGTTTTTCTCAATGCTCAGAAGCCACCCCAAGCCCCAGGTTGGAAAGTAAGTATACTCCAGGAGGTCATGAGAGGTAACAGGGGGTGGCCCATTCTGGCAGTAAATGCAGAAAGTAGAAATGGATTCAAGTGGCAGAGTCCCAGTTTCAACAGAGCCTGAATAATAATAATGATAATAATAATAATAATAATAATAATGTGTGAGAGTAACGGGCCTTCTCTGCTTGGGGCCAGAACAGGCAACACACATCAGGGAGCATGTGCTCCCATAATCATACTTTCCTAGCTTCCATTCTGCTGTGGTCTGATTTCAACTCCTTTAGCAGCCTTATCTACCCATAAAATTATGAGTGGGAGAGCACTTTGCAAACTCTAATACTCTATGAAAAAGTAAAAAGTATTGCTGTAAGGGCAGCACCTGTAGCTCAGTGGGTAGGGCACTGGCCACATAACCGAGGCTGGTGGGTTCAAACCCGGCCCAGGCCAGCTAAACAATAAAGACAACTGCAGCAAAAAAATAGCCTAGTGTTGTGGTGGGCGCCTGTAGTCCCAGCTTGGGAGGAAGGCAAGAGAATCACTTAAGCCCAAGAGTTTGAGGTGGCTATGAGCTGTCATGCCACAGCACTCTATCGAGGGTGACATAGCAAGACTGTCTCAAAAAAAAAAAAGTATTCCTGTAATGATTGTCATTATTATGTCCAGTGGTTTAAGATTTCTGCTATCTACTTCTTAGCTATGTAAGGCCTAAAGAGAGGAAGGGCTCTAGGCTATTCCTCAGCTTATTAGGCTCTGGGCCCTTATTCCCCTCCAGCTGTTCACAGCTGGCGGGGAAGCCAGAGGCTCAGGGGAAATAGAAAAAGTAATTTGCTGGGACACAGAGACATAGACTGAGGGAGAGCATGCCTCGCCTAACAATCGAACCATTGCCCTGAGTCTCTGTTTTCTTTTCTTTTCTTTTTTTTTGGTGAGGGTGTGTGTAGTGCTGTGACATCATAGCTTACAGCAACTTGAGCTCAAGCCATCTTCATGCCTCAGCCTCCCAAGTAGCTGAGACTACGGGCACCACAACACTCAGCTAATTTTTCTATATTTAGTAGAGACAGGTCTCACTATTGCTCAGGCTGGTCTCAATCTCCTGAGCTCAGGCGATCCACTCACCTCAGCCTCCTAGAGGGCTAGGATTACAGGCGTGAGCCACCCCACTCTAGCCTGCCCTGAGTCTCTTAATAGGGAGAGTTTGGACATGGGATAGGGGAGGTTATGGGGGGATGGGAAGAAAGGAATTGAGGAGGGCAGTGAGATCTAGGCCTCCCACTTCCCCACGGGACTCCTACCTTGGCCTTTCCGGTCATGCCCAAGAGGAAGCTGAAGGTGCGTCGCAGGGAGGAGCCTGCCCAGGAACCTGAGTGCCCTTCCAGCTGGCTAGAGCTATAGAGAGAAAAAGAAGAGGTGAGGAGATGGAGACAGCTGGAAAAGAAAAAGATACTCCTCAAGAGATGGTAAATGAAGGCGGCATCACCATCAGAGCAAGTATGGAGAAAGGGCTAAGAGGGGGAGGAAAAAGGACAGAGAGAGAAAGGAAAGCCTCACCTCAACCTCCTAGGACTTCCAGGATGTGGACACTTCAGTTTCCCAGGCCCCTCTATTTAGGAGGAAAACTGCAAGCTCCTCCCAGATAAATGCAGACTCCTCCTTCCTACCTAATCCAGCCTCAGGATGGGAGGGCCCAATCTCCTCTCCTGCTCCCCAGCGGAAGTGGTATGGGGCGGGGACTCTCTAGGGGGGCATTTTCTTCTCTCTGAAAGAACAACAGCCCTGTGTAGGAAGGACCCTCTCTGAGTTTGGAAAGGGCCTCTGGGCCTAAAGCCAGTAAGGACTGAATTTCCTGGGATTTCATCAGCCCCATCCCATGAGCTAATCCCAAACCCAGAGCCAGGAGGATGTGTCAGCTGAAGATTTTCAGGACCACAAATCAGAGCCTGATATCTTAAAGGGGCCACTACATGCTCATACCACCCTCATGAGAGGGCTGACATGCTCTAATCAGCCGTAAGCCATGGGAGCCAGACCAACAGGTGCAGATTCTGTGTGCTTATTTATGTGGTCACTGAAATCTCAGCCTCCACCTAGATTCCTGAGCTGTGCCTTCAGGCCCTGCCCTCTCACTGGGAGTTCTCCAGCCATTGCCCAGCTCTTCTTAGGGCCTCTTACATCGAGTTATTATCTGAGCCATCCAATGCTGACCTGGTCTCTGGACTTCACTAAGACCATCCAACAACCCAGCTGCTCTCTTGCCTGTGAGTAATTGACTGTAGCAAGCTCCTCTTTCTTTTATTCAAAGGACACCCTGTGGCCTGGATACTCCTTTTCTTTCCCTAATTTTTTACCCCATTCCACAGGGCCATGAGAAACTTGGTGAGTCCTCCCTTGCCAAAGAATGAATTCTGTATAGCTCAGGGAAGGATGTTTGGAGGCCTTTAATCAGAAATATTAAGGAAAGCAATGATTCAGGAAGCAGTGAGGTACATGGGGCTACAAAATCATGGCCCAGACCCATCGCTTCTTCCCTAGCTAGGCCTTTGAAGGGCTACAAGTTCCCCAAACTCACCTTTTCCTGAGGTCAGTGGCAGAGGACTGGGATAAATACCCTGCCAACACAAAAGGAGAGGAGAAGTGTCTAGCTAAAACCAGACAAAGGCGCTCAGGGCTTTCTTTCCCCACCCCCTCCACCTGGATCAGGTTCCCAAGCTGCAGGTGCATGTGACAGCCATTCCTGAGGGAGGAGGGCACTGGGGGGTAGGGGAAGAGGGCGGGGTCTGAACCAAGCAGAGCTGAAGAACTTCAAAGCCCTAGGAGCAGAGCACCAGGGTTATGTGGAGAATGACACAGGTTTCCGTTCTGTTTCTGGTGAATAGGGAGGGCAGAGGTTTACACTGAGCTGCCTATACTTCACCTTGAGGGCAAGGTCCATTGCAGGTAACTGTCCCCCATCTCTGGCGACAGGGGAGGCTAGAGGACCTCACTGTGTCCTGTGTCATCCTTCATTGATAAGAGACTCAATGCTGAACTCATGAATTTACATCTCTCATTGAATAAAGGCATTTTGGGGTCTTCAAGGGCCCGTGGCTAGACATAATCCAGAACATCTGGACACTAAACATCTAGCTTTGGGCTGATGAGATGGATGGGGGAAGGGGCCACCACTATTATGCTCTCCACTTTTACTCACCATTTGGATCTGAACAGTCCAAGAGGGAGTTGAGGCCACTCAGGGATACAGACTTAGAAAGCATACCAGTGGCTGAGTGTGCCAAAGGGCCAGCAGGTGGATGACAGGAATCTTGACCCTAGAATTATGCAAAAAGTCCTCACACAAATAGCAAGCTTCACCCATCTTCCCACCATGGTCTTTGCTTTCCCACAGTTTGGCTCCTCTTCAAATCCAGGCCTCCTAACCCTCTCCACTACCCGTACCTGGGATATTGAACTTGAAGCAGTTGGGACATTTAGCATTCATTAATCTGCTTCAGTTCAAGCCCAGGCTTTCTTTTTCTTTTTTTTTTTTTTTAGTGACAGAATCTCACTATGTTGCAGTGGATAGAGTACCGTGGCACAGCTCACAGCAACCTCCAACTCTTGGGCTTAAGTGATTCTCTTGTCTTAGCCTCCCAAATAGCTGGGACTACAGGTGCTCACCACAAAGCCTGGCTATTTTTTGGTTGCAATTGTCATTATTTTAGCAGGTCTAGGCCAGGTCGAACCCAAAAGCCTTGGTGTATTTGGCCAGCACCCTACTCACTGAGCTACGGTTTCCAAGCCAGGCTTTCTTAATATAGAAAATATACTTGAGGCTCAGCGCCGGTAGCTCAGTGAGTAGGGCACCGGCCACATACACTGAAGCTGGCAGTTTCGAGCCCAGCATGGGCCTGCTAAACCACAATGACAACTGCAACCAAAAAATAGCCGGACAGGGTAGTGCCTGTGGCTCAGAGGAGTAGGGTGCCAGCCCCATATACCAGAGGTAGTGGGTTCAAACCCAGCCCAGGCCAAAAACTAAAAAAAAAAAAAAAAAATAGCCGGACATTGTGGTGGGCACCTGTAGTCCCAGCTACTCAAGAGGCTGAGGCAAGAGAATCTCTTGAACCTAAGAGTTTGAGGTTGCTGTGAGCTGTGATGTCACAGCACTCTACCAAGGGTGACATAGTGAGACTCTGTATCAAAAAAAAAGAAAGAAAGAAAGAAAATATACTTGAAAAGAAAAGATTTACCCGGGTGGCGCCTGTGTCTCAGTGGGTTGGGCGCCAACCCCATATACCGAGGGTGGTGGGTTCAAACCCAGCCCCAACCAACAAAACAACTGCAACAAAAAATAGCCGGGCATTGTGGTGGGCATCTATAGTCCCAGCTACTCAGGAGGCTGAGGCAAGAGAATCGCCTACGCCCAGGAGTTGGAGGTTGCTGTGAGCTGTGACACCACAGCACTCTACTGAGGGTGATAAAGTGAGACTCTGTCTCTAAAAAAAAAAGAAAAGGAAAGATTTACCCTGAATGGCTTCCAGAGATAACAAACTCAACCTATAAAAGCCAGACAGGTAATGATAAAAGAGGAGGCAGTCTGGAACAGGGGTCCTCAAACTTTTTAAACAGGGGGCCAGTTCACTGTCCCTCAGACTGTTGGAGGGCCAGACTGTGGGCCCCGGGACAAGTTGGCT